CATCATCTTCCAATAACCCAAGAGAAGACTCTACACATGGACATCACAAGATGGTCAATACTGAAATCTGATTGATCATGTTCTTTGCAGCCAAAGATGGAGTAGCTCTATATGGTCAACAGAAACAAGACTGGGAGCTGACTGTGGCTCATATCATGAACTCCTTATTGCAAAATTCAGATTTCGATTGAAGAAAGTAGGGAAAACCCCTAGGCCACTCAGGTATGACCTAAGTCAAATCCCTTATGATTATACAGTAGAAGTGACAAATAGATTCAAGGTATTAGATCTGATCAACAGAGTGCCTGAAGAACTAAGGACAGAGGTTCCTAACATTGTTCAGGAGGCCATGATCAAAACCATCCACCAAAGTGAAATGCAGAAAGGCAAAAGGCTTGTCTGAGGAGGCCTTACAAATAGCTGAGAAAAGAAGAGAAGCTAAAGGAAAAGAAGAAACGGAAAAAGATATACCCATCTGAATGCAGAATTCCAAAGAATAGCAAGGAGATATAAGAAAAACTTAAGTGAACAATGCAGAAAATAGCAGGAAACAATAGAATGGGAAAGACTACAGATCTCATTAAGAAAATTAGAGACACCAGGGGAACATTTCATGCAAAGATGGGCATAGTAAAGGATAGAAATGGTATGGACCATTTCTGAAGCAGTAGATATTAAGAAGAGGTGGCAAGAATACACAAAAGAATTATACAAAAGAGATCTTAATGACCCAGATAACCACGATGCTGTTATCACTCACCTAGAGGCAGACATCTCGGAATGCAATGTCAAATGTGCTTTAGGAATCATCAACACGAACAAAGCTAGTGGAGGTGATGGAATTCCAGCTGAGCTATTTCAAGGCCTAAAAGATGATGCTGTTAAAGTGCTGCACTCAATATGCCAGCAAATATGGAAAACTCGGCAGTGGCCACAGAAGTGGAAAAGGTCAGTTTTCATTCCAATCCCAAAGAAAAGCACTGCCAAAGAATGTTCAAACTATTGCACAATTGTACTCATCTCACATGCTAGCAAAATAATGCTCAAACTTCTCCAAGTGACATTTCAACATACATGAACCAAGACCTTCCAGATGTTCAAGCTGGATTTCGAAAAGGGAGAGGAACCAGAGATCAAATTGCCAGCATCCACTAGATTATAGAAAAAGCAAGAGAGTCAAGAAAAACATCTTCTTATTTACTGACTGTGCCGACTGTGGATCACAGCAAACTGTTGGAAAATTCCCAAAAGATGGGAATACCAGACCACCTTACCTGTCTCCTGAGAAATCTGTATGAAGGTCAAGAAGCAACACTTAGAAGCAGACATGGAACAATAGACTGGTTCTAAATTCGGGAAGGTGTCTATCAAGGCTGTATGTTGTCACTGTGTTTACTTATGTGCAGAGTACATCATGCAAAATGTCAGGTTGGATGAAGCACAAGCTGGAATCAAGATTGCTGGGAGAACTATCAATAACCTCAGGTATGCAGATGACACCACTCTTATGGCAGAAAGTGAAGCAGAAGGAAAGAGCCTCTTGATTAAAGTGAAAGAGGAGAGTTAAAAAGCTGGCTTAAAACTCAGCATTCAGAAAATGAAGATCATGTCAACTGGTCCCATCACTTCATGACAAATAGATGGGGAAACGATGGAAACAGTAACAGACTTTGTTTTCTTGGGCTCCAAAATCACTGCAGATGGTGACTGCAGCCATGAAATTCAAAGGTGCTTGCTCCTTGGAAGAAAAGCTCTGACCAACCTAGACAGCATATTAAAAAGCAGAATCATTACTTTGCTGACAAAGGTCCGTCTAGTCAAAGCTATGGTTTTTCCAGTAGTCATGTAGTGATGTGAGAGTTAGACTATAAAGAAAGCTGAGTACTGAAGAATTGATACCTTTGAACTGTGGTCTTGGAGAAGACTCTTGAGAGTCCTTTGGACAGCAAGGAGATCAAACCAGTCCATTCTAAAGGAAATCAGTCCTGAAGATTCATTGGAAGGACTGATGCTGAAGCTGAAGCTGAAGCTCCAATACTTTGGCCACCTGATGTGAAGAACTGACTCATTGGAAAAGACCCTGATGCTGGGAAAGGTTGAAGGTGGGAGGAGAAGGGAATGACAGAGGATGAGATGGTTGGATGGCATCACTGACTCGATGGACATGAATTGAGCAAACTCTAGCAGTTATTAATGGACAGGGAAGCCTGCCATACTGCAGTCCAATGCATCATAAAGAGTTGCACGCAACTGAGCAACTGAACTGAACTGATAAGGGGAAAGAATATAAAGAATAATAGATATCTATATCTATACCAGACCAGCTGAAATGTAAAGGATGCTGATGGTGACTGGTTCTGACCCTCAAAACTTCAATCAACTGAAGCTTGGAGTCTGCCACAGCCCAAGACCCTTAAGGAACATCTCTGTAAATTTAAAGTGTTAGTCACTCACTCATGTCTGACTCTTTGCAACCTCCTGGACCACCAGGCTCTTCTGTGTATGGGATTCTCCAGGCAAGAATACTTGAATGCATTGCCATGCCCTCCTCTGGGGATCTTCCCCACCTAGGGATTGAACCCGGGTCTTCTGCTATGGGCAGACTGCTTACTGTCTGAGCTACCATGGAAGCCTAAACATGCCTGTTCCCATAGATTAAAGCTTCCCCACCTTTGCGGTTTAGAGAGACACTGCTCTGGAAAGCTGCATGGTGCTCTCCATAGTTCTGCAAGTAATACACTTTTCCTTCCCATGAGCTTTGGCTGGGTTGTATCTTCTGGCTCAACACCCACCAAGATGTAAACTCACTTTTCTGGTAACATTTCTCCACCCAGAGTCCCAACCACCACTAGATACTAATTCTACAGTCAGTCGTCTTGCTTCCAATTCATGGAAATTGCCTTACTTTTCTGTGAGCAAATCTACCTAATGGCCAGAAACAGTGTCCCTATTTTATCTTGTGAAGCCAGTATGTGTCAAGGAAACTCAGCTCTGTGGATCCATTGTCCTCCAGTTCGATGCCTCGTTTTACAGAAAACACTTGCAAGACTTTGAGGTTTTATTTATACCTCATTTCTGAAGGCTTTTGATACCTACATTAAATACACAGATTACTCATCAGTGCCACTTCTACTTTGAGGTTAAAAATCCTCCAAGTTTTTTCTAACATAACTATTCCATGCATTTTAAATATTTGACCATACATTTATTTTGTGTCTCATCAGAGTTTAGTTAATTACACCGTTTTCCCCTGAATAATGCAGTACTCACCCCATAGGCGGAGAAGGCAATGGCACCCCACTCCAGTACTCTTGCCTGGAAAATCCCATGGACGGAGGAGCCTGGTAGGCTGCAGTCCATGGCGTCGCTAAGAGTCGGCCGCGACTGAGCGACTTCACTTTCACTTTTCACTTTCATGCATTGGAGAAGGAAATGGCAACCCACTCCAGTGTTCTTGCCTGGAGAATCCCAGGGACAGCGGAGCCTGGTGGGTTGTTGTATGGGTTGCACAGAGTCAGACACGACTGAAGCGACTTAGCAGCAATAGCAGCAGCACCCCATAGGGGATCTTGCCAAAACTGGATTTGACAAAGTAGGGCACAGGTGGGCCTAGGAGAAAGTCCGGGAGCACGACTGCCATCTGGTGGAGCCGAGATTCTAGTTGAGGGCACTGGAAGGAAACATCCAGCCTGAGGACAACCCGCCCACTTGAGGATACAAGCCTGAGGCAATGCCTGAAAACAAGCAAAAAAAAAAAAAAAAAAAAAAAAAAAGTCCAAGATGCGCCTGCGCACTGGAGGCTTCTTGGCAGACATGCCCTCTGAGCAGCCAATCCCCGAGCAGTTGGGTGGGGCCTCCTTCTCTCTCTACACCCTCCCAGCGCCTATTGGCTGGACTGCCTCGGTCACAACGCTGATTGGTTGCTTGTGCCTGACAGGATACAGGCCGGCTGCTCGCCCTTCACTTCGCCTCGACGCGGGAAAACTCCATGCCACTGAGCTCTGAACGAGCCTCGGGCCGGAGTTGGTAGCACCGCAGGACATCTGGGAGACTGACCAGAACGCACCCTGCACAACCCTCATAAACCCTTACCCTGACGGCTTCAAATTCCAGGGTAAGAGGCCCCAAATCCAGTCAGCTTTGAAGAACCTGGGTCCTACCTGAAGGGAGCTCGCGTCTCGTCAGCTTCAGCAACTACAAGTCCCTTCACCCCCGGAAACACCAAATCCCCTAGTGTTTTGACCCTCAAATATCTAGAGTAACCCCAGTTCCCCTCAGGCTGAGGCACCCACAGAGAGACCAAATTTCCTTAACCTCGGAGACCCTGAATACCTCAGCCTGGGAGCTCTTAAAACTCTTTATCCTCAAGACTCCCACTGTCCTGCCTGTTAGAGTCCTAAAGCCCCTTAATAAGAAACCTCCGATTTCCTCAGCCTCAAAGATCCCAAGTTCTCTAACCCTGCACATTCTACATAAACATCCCCAGTCCCCTCTGTCTGAGAATCCCAGTTCCTTCAGGTCCTGTGTCGCAGTTCTCCTCAAGCGGAGCGACTTATCCCTTAAACGTAGAACCCATGTTATGACCAGATTTTTCCGAGTTCCCAGGCGGAGATCCTCAAAATCCTTCTTGGAGAAATATTCCCTCTCCTGCACTGGAACAGAGCCCTGATTTCAGCCTGACCCCAGTCCAGCAGTTAGTGGCTTCTAGGTCTCCTCAGGACTCCCTCTGTCACCCACAGACACGTCCCGCCCAGTGCCTTTCCTCAGAGGGGCTGAATTGTAGGGGAACCATAGAAACCAAATCTAGTTCACATTAGGCTGGCCTGTCATAGCTGGTCAGGATCCGTCCATCCCATCAACACCCTCACTCTGACTTTCCCCACCTTCCTGCCCTGGACACTCCACCCAAGGAAGACAGACCAGGCTCTGGACAGTGGTCTGGGCTATCTCAGCATCTTCTTCTTCCACAGGCACCTTGGCATTGAGGCAGTCCCATGGCCATGAGCCCAAACAGGTCTCAAGAGGAAAGCACTGAGGGAGATGCCAGGAGAACAGAGCGGAAGCCCACGGTGAGAGGTGGAGGTGGCAAAGCTGGGCTCTAAGCCAGCTCTATTGGAAGGACATGGTGCCGGTCTCTGAAGGACCACAGACTGCTTGCTTGGGCAGCTGAGTGAACTTCCCTGTGACCGTACACAGGATGGGAATGCCTGGTCCTGTCTGAGACGGTGGGGTGGAGTGGGACAAAACAGGACACTAGCATCATCAACTGCTCTGTGTCCAGGGAGAGTTAGGAAAATGCTCAGTGTTTGTTCAGTTAAGCAGGACACAGGTGGGAAGAAAAGTCTTCATTCCTGTCTCACAGAGACCATCCAGTAGCTTCAGGCTACTCCCTGCACAAAAGGTGGAAGAGAAGTCAGCTCTAAGGTCTGACATATATTAGTAAGTCACTGATGGCATCTACTATTTTCCTTAGACAAAAGATGCTTTCAAGGACATTTCCATATACTTCACCAAGGAAGAATGGGCAGAGATGGGAGAATGGGAAAAAATCCGATACAGGAATGTGAAAAGGAACTACGAAGCGCTGATTGCTATAGGTAACAAGAAGTGCTGGGTGCCTGTGAGCCTGGGAAACACGAAACAGGTCTTCACCCTCAGTGTTCACTTGGCCCTCTCTTAGGTGGCTTCTTCTGCTCACAGTTTCCTTTTGTGTGGAGACTAACCTGGAGGAAATTTTTATTGTTTTGTACCAAAGTGGGGTTGACCCTGGCAGTGCAGACATCACCTATTGCCTTATTGTACATTCTTCCAGCCCATCCTACTGATTTCCCTGACTTTGTGACACTTTCCATTTCCTCTGTGCTTTTTTCCTCTTTCTTAGAACATATATCTTGCTTCTTTTCAGGTTTCAGAGCCACAAGACCAGCTTTCATGCCTCACTGCAGGCAGGTCATAAAACCCCAGGTAGATCACACTGAGGATTCTGATGAAGAATGGACACCAAGGAAGCAAGGTGAGGGGCCAGAAGGATTTAGAGGTGTCTTCAAGAAACCAGCCTGGGCTTAGGTCTCAACTGCATCTCGGCCATTAGCAAAGAAAACATAATTTTCGTCATTCTGAAGTGGTTGTGGCTAGTATTGACATAAGCCTGAATGAAGGTGAAGGTATAGGTTTTCCAGTGTAATTCTCAAAAGTTTTATGTTTAAAATTTATCATTCTTTGTAAAAAGAATTATTTTTGCTGAACATCCTTAATGAAAGGCAATTAAACATACCCTAGGTTATAAATTCACCAAAGAGATTTCTAATACTAATCTCATAATAATTCAGTTATTGGATTAAATCTCTTAGAAGAGGAAATGATTAACATATTATGTCAAGATACATTATTTATGTGTGTATAAAAAATAACACCACTTACCCTAAGGTGAAACTAATTCTTTGTTTTGATTCTTGGAAAGGGTTTGAGAGAACTATTTATTCTCCCTGATCTTTCCCACATTTCACTCACCAGAGACAGCATCAGGTAAATAAAAAATGAAGTACAACCATTATAAAATAGAAGTGAACAGCTCACTTCCTCTTCCACTGCTCAGAGACTTTAGAAGAGTTAATCTGCTTAGAGTAGAGAAGACAATTTAGATAGTTCTAGGATTCTCCATCTATGGATTTCTGCTCTCCCAGATTTTAAAAAATTATTTATTTAGTTTTGGCTGCACTGGGTCTTTGTTGCTGTGCAAGGGCTTTCTCTGGTTGTGGTGACTGGCTTCTCGTTGCAGAGCACATTCAGGCTCAGTAGTTTGTGACACACAGGGTTAGTTGCCCCGCAGAAAGTGGAATCTTCCCGGACCAGCGATCAAACCTGTGTCCTCTGCATTGGCAGGCAGATTCTCATCCACTGTGCCACCAGGGAAGTCCATCTGTTCCCTTAGGTTATCAAAACTAGTGTAAGAAACATGAAACCCAAAGGTTTTGACATGAAGAGAGATCCTTCATAGGGAATAACACCCCACGGCTCACTGTGCCTCTACACATCTTTGCCTTGTTAATTTCTGAGTGCACCCTATTGCTAACTGTGTACACATTGCTCTAAAGCAGATCTGTAGAGCTTTTTCATCTTGCATGCCTGAAGCCCTGCACCTACTGAGAAACAATTCTCCAGTTCTTCCTCCTCACAGACCTTTGTGACCACGATTATATTTTCTGTTTCCATGGATTTGATTAATTTAGATACCTTGTAGAAGTGGAATCTTGCAATATTTGTCTTTTTTTGATTGGTTCACTTCACTTAGCATAATATCATCAAGGCCCATCCTTGATGTGGCATATGACAAAACTCTTATTTTAAGGCTTCAAAACATTCCATTGTGTGCATGTGTATATGATACATATATATAAGATATACATAATCTTTACCTGTTTATCCACCAATGAACATTTAGATTGCTTCCACATCTTGCCAACTGGGAATAATGCGGCAATGACCATAGATGTGCACACGACTTATTTAAGATCTTGCTTTCAATTTTTGTGGAAATATACTCTGGAGTTGGATTGCTAGATCATACAGCAGTTCTAATTTTCTGAGGAAACTCCATACTGTTTTCTATAAAGTTTGAAAGATTTTGCATTTCCAACAATAGTGTATAAGGGTTCCAATTTCTCCATATCCTTACCAAACTTGCTATTGTCTTTTTATTCATATTGGCCATCACAGAAGGTATGAGATAATTTCCACTGTGGTTTTAATTTGTATTTCCCTATTGATTAGTAATCTTGAGCATTTTTTCATATGTTTGTTGGCCATTTGCATATCTTCTTTGGAGAAATGTCTATTCAATTCCTTCTCCCACTGTGTTAGTCAGCTCAGGCTGCCATAACAAAACAGACTGCGTGGCTTAAACCACAGAAATTTGTTCTTTTACAATGCTGGAGCATGGAAGTTTGATATCAGGGTGCCATCATGGTCAATCAGGTTCTGTTCCTGGCTTATAGGTAGCCTTCATATTGGTGTATGCTTATTAACCCCTTATCAGATAAATATTTTACAAATATTTTCTACCATCCTGTAGGATGTCTTTTCACTCTGTTCCTCTGTTAAACTCTGTGTCCTTTGCTGTACAGATGTTTTAAGATTAAGGAAGTCTCATTTGTCTATTTTTACTTTGTTACTAATACTTGTGCATTTGGTATTATATCTAAGAAATCATTGCTGATTCAATGTTGTGAAGCTTTACCCTTTTTTTTTTCCCTAAGAGTCTTATCAAGTCTTACATTTAGGTCTTTAATCCATTCTGAGTTGATTTTTCTTCATGATTTAAGATCTTCATTATTTTGCATATGGATATTTTGTTTCCCCAGCGCCATTCGTTACAGGGATTAAACTTTCCATGTTGTCTTGACACCCTTGATGAAGATCATTAGACCATGTATACAAGAGTTTATTTCTAGCTGTCTATTCTGTTCCATTGATTGGTATGTCTGTCTTTATGCCAGTGGGCTTCCTCCATGGCTCAGCAGGTAAAGAGTCTGCCTTCAATGCAGGAGACATAGGAGATGTGGGTTCGATCCATGAGAAGAAGATCCCCTGGAGAAGGAAATGGCAACCCCCTCCAGTATTCTTGCCTGGGAAATCCCCTGGACAGAGGAGTCTGGTGGGCTACAGTCTAAAAGGTCGCAAAGAGTCAACATGACTGAGCGACTAAGCATGCACTTTATGCCAAAACTACACTTTTTGGTTACTGTACCTTTGTAATATGTTCTGAAATCAGAGGCCTCCAGCTTTGCTGTTCTTTCTAAGATTGTTTTGCCTATTTGGGGTCCTCTGAGATTCTGTATTAACTGTAAGATGGGTTTTTCCATATCTGAAAAAAATTCCATTGGGATTTTAATAGGAATTGCATTGAATCTTTACATTGCTTTGGGTAGTATGAACAGCTTAATAATATTGTCTCCAAATCCACAAATGTGAGACACCTTTCTATTTACTTGTGTCAGATTCCTTTCAACAATACTTGGTAGTTTTCAATGTATAAGTCTTTCATCTCCTTAGGTTTACTCCCAATTATTTCATTCTTTTTGATACTATTATAAATAAGATTATCAGGACTTCTCTGGTGGTCCAGTGTCTTAGACTCCACACTCCCAGTGCAGAGAACTTGGGTTCAATCCCTGGTCAGGGAACTAGATCCTACATGCCACAACAAAGACCTGGCACAAATCAATCAATAAATATAATTTTTTAAAAAAATTTAAACTTAGCTCTTGACTATAGCTTTAAAAAATAAAACATAAATAGGGTTGTTTTCTTATTTTCCTTTTTGGAATGGTTGTTGTTCATGCATGGAAAGATATTTGAATATTGATTTTGTACCATGCAACTTTCTGTGCAGGTTTTGTGTGTAATTTAAAAATTTTTGTGCACATAAAATCATGTCCTCTGTGAACAGACATAATTTTACTTCTTTCTTTCCAAATGGAAGTCTTTCGTTTCCTTTTCTAATCTAATGCCCTGGCTAAGACTTCTAATATGTTGAATAGAAGTGTTGAGAACGGGCATCCTTGCCTTTTTTTCTTGATCTTAGAAGTTTTCAGATTTTCACTGATGACTATGATGTTAGAGATAGACTTTTCATACATGACCTTTATTACATTGCAATCACTTCCTTCTATTTCTACTTTGTTGAGTTTTTTTTTGTCATGAAAGTCTAGTAAATTTATTAGATGCTTTATGGACATCAGATGAAGCGCAAATGAAGTTTCATATTTTTAAAATTTTAATAAAATTATGTAATGCTCCCAGTGGAAGCATAGGAGTTGATGAAACAGAAATCACTTTCCATTTCTCCTTTGGTAATCCTTGTCCTTGTCGCTCTCTGGCTCAGAGTTCTGTGTCCTTAATTAGAATGCCCGGAGTTTGGAAACATTTACCAACCAAAACACTTATTCTCATAATTTTTCAGGTAAACCTTCTGGGATGGCCTTCAGAGGGAAGCACAGTAAACACCAGAAGGTAAATGTTTCCCAAATCCTGTTGACAAAAAAATCCTCCTCATGGATCCAGTCACAGGTGAGAATAGGAGAAAACACAGAGATCCTGGAGACTGCTGCCTTCCTGTCCTGAATCTTAAGCACAATGTCTGATATCATCACCATCTTTATAGTTAGTAAGAACAGCAACAATAGTAAGCTGTTCTATCATTACATTATTTCCAAAATATTTCAGACTTTAAGCATTTTATGTGAATAAACTTACTTAAACCTTAAAACAATCCTACAGTACCTATAAGTAGATATATAGCTATCACCATTATAGATCAAGAAACTGAGGTTAAAAAAATATTTGATTATATGTGTGGGATCACAGTATGGTGGTACAGTCTAATCCAAAGCACCTTCTCTAAACCCAATACAAACTGGTTAGAACTTCCATGGTTTTATAAAGTCTCTTTATACATCTTTATATCATTTATCTGAGAGATGTTTTCAACCTCAGTTCTTTTGTGCTGTGCTAGTGAGGGATATCTGAGGGATATCTAAGGGAAGCTTAAGGACATGTTGGGCAGTTTGTGGAGTGGATGGTCCAAGATGAAGGTGACATGATCCCTACCTCAGAGACTCCTACTCCAATAAGAGGAAGTAACTTGCAGCTCTGACAAGCCTCAGGTTTATGACTCAAAAACAACAAATAAGAAAATAACTGAAGGACTTCACACAGGTTACCTGCTTTTGAGTAGAAACTCATCATCTGGACATGATTTCAAATGCTCATTCTTGTAGGAGGAAGTAACAAGTCCTTCCTCTGAGCTCTGATTAGACAACTCTCCTGTTTGGAATCATTTGTTTAGCCTGCCCCTGTTTTGTAAGCTTTGAGAGCATAGCCCATACCCGTTAATTCTCAGAAGTCCAGGCCCAGCTCAAAGCCCCTGAGGGCCCTCTGAATGTTTTGTGAATAAATGACTCCACATTTAAACATTCATCTAGGAATAAGAAGGTCAAGGAATACTGCAGATAGTATTTGTGAGCTAGACTTCAAATATAGAAGCAGTCGAGGGGATATATTGATGGCAGGGATGTATGCTCACATTCATACTATATTAAATAGCTCACACAATGATTTGTTGAATGTTATTAAATTTCATGTCCACTATAACATTAAAAATTAGCATGTATACCAATTTATGGACCAGGAAACTGAGGAGAACCAGCTAGTTGTATAGCCTTCTTCAAGGAGAATTGATGAGACCAGCTACTTCAATTCCAAACATTGTCTCTAGGACATGGCAACCTGCAACTTTCAGCTCATTTTCTTTATTGTTTGAATGTGTTTTGTGCGGATCATCTTTTCTCTTCTCAATCTTACTGCTTTGTCACCTTATTTTCCAGATGTGTTTTGTCCCTTCTGTAATTTTCCATACTTCCTTGTCCATCAAAGGTCCACTAATTAATAGAAAACCTCACGGATTTCTCTATGAGCCCTTACCCTCTTCTTTCCCTGACCTCCAGCTATTCTCCCTGTGTTGTTTTCACTTTTATGCATAAGTTGAGGGGAAAGAATCTTAAGATATCAATTCTAGTTTTTATTTACTACCCACTTAGGTCCTTTTTTTACACTCCAATGTTCAGACCCCCCCCCCCCTCTGCCAGGTATTTCCAAGAATTGTCAAAGTATTAACTGAAGCCATGCATGTGAAAACACTTCATACAGTCCTAAAGAACTAAAGAAATGCATGTTATCTTTTACTCACATGGAAGAGAACAACCAGGGGACCATTAAATAAGGTATCTCGTTTGAAGAAATTGCCGGGAGCAGTGAAATTGCAGAAGAAAAGTGGCTCCAAACAGGCTCAGAAACCAGTGCCCCCTCCCAGAGAAGCAAGGACCTCTGGACAGCACCCCAGACACAAAGTCGGTAAGAGAAAATTTGGGGAGTTCCTTTAATTAGTTCCTCCAATCCCTGTAGAAAAGCTAATAAGTATGGCCTAGGTGTGGGGTGTGGACTTTGGGTAGGCGTGGGTTTAAGCTGGACTGATCTGAGACATGAAGTTAGCACTGGGGCCTTGGGGAAATCTTATACATTTTCTGAGGTCCTGATTGCTCATCTGTAAAGTGAAGATGCGGACACATAACTCATCCAGTGTTTGGAAGCATTACATTAAATGCAAAAGTGCTGACACCTACAAGTAGTTCAGTAAATCCAGCTGTGATGATAGGGACCATGCTTTGTTAGTATTTATACACAGACCTCTGCTCAATGCCTTACGTGTCATGCCCTTAACATATATTTTCTGAGTAGATGTGTCAGTGAACTATTTCCTAAGTAAGAAGTTAGGGAAGTTAAACCTACTAATGGGAAGTGCAGGAAGCTAACACTGAACTGGGCATCTGTGGTCAGTGAGGAGCCTCAGTCTCCTGAACCAGTAGTTAAAGGGAGAAGAAGCAAAGTATAGAGAAGGGCCTTCCTGGTGGTTAAGTGGTTACGACTCCACACTTCCACTGCAGGAGGTGTGGCTTCCATTCCTGGACAGGGAACTAAGATCCCACATGCCATGCAGCATGGTCAATAAATAAATAATGTATCATTAAAATATAAAAATACAAAACTAAAAGTTTGAAAAATAAATGTGAAAAAGTTTTAACAAATTGTATAGATGGACAAGTAGGAGATCTCACACTTTCTGATAAAACAGGGACTACCTCTCCAGACCCCACCAGTCTTGCTTAGCTTCCGTTCTCCATCTTAGAACTCAAAAGAAAGGAGACTGAAGTGAAGAGGTACAGTCTGCGAGAGAGAAAGGGCCATGTGTACCAAGAGGACAGCGAGCCCCAGGATGATGACTACCTCTGTGAGTGACCCCGCTGGCCCACTCATGGAGAAGAGGTTATGAGACCTTTGTACAATAACCTCACCTCACCATTTGGTCCCCCAGTCATCCCCTTCCTGTATGACTTTGGGTACGGGATCAAGGCCAAAGGCCATGAATGCCCCAGTTCTTTCTGAAGGTCTTTCCAACCAGCAACATCACTATACCTCCCTCATCCCTGTTGCTCTCACCTCCAGATTGTGAGGAATGTCGGAACTTCTTCATCGACAGCTGTGCTATCCATGGGCCCCCAACCTTCATAAAGGACGCTGCAGTGGAAAAGGGGCATGCCAACCGCGCAGCCCTCACTCTGCCCCCTGGGTTAAGAATCAGACGGTCGGGCATCCCTAAGGCTGGGCTTGGAGTGTGGAATGAGGCATCCGATCTGCCGCTGGGCCTGCATTTTGGCCCCTACGAGGGTCAGATCATACACAATGAAGAGGCCTCCCACAGTGGATACTGCTGGATGGTGAGAAATAGCCCTCTTTCCCTATCCTCTGGCTCTAATCGCTTGTGTGTGATGGCGGGGGGGGGGGGGTACTTATGTCTACGTGCAAGGACATGGATGGTAATGACGGTGAGCAATGACACAGTCAGCCCTGTGTACTGTGTGCACTGGGCACGACCACAGGACTTCTATCCAAAGATCAGAGGAAGGTGGGAGACAGTGGTACAGGCATACGGAAGTGACTCCTCACTTGTGGAGCCCTTGCCTTCAGTGTGCTAATAGACTCCGACTTGAAATGATGATTAAGGAGCTTACTGTGTGGTCCAACTGGCAGTTGAATCCATGCAGGCTGAAGAGCAGCAATGACAGCAGAGGGAAAGTTCTTCTATTACTTCCTACCAAAAAATAAATAAATAAAATAAAAGAGAGAAGAAAGCTTGTATCTCTTTTCTGACACTCAGGTCACAGGGAAAAACAGCTACGAGTATGTGGATGGAAAGGACAAGTCTTTGGCCAACTGGATGAGGTGAGTGCAGTGAGTTTGCAGTTTGTAGATGTCGCTCCTCCTCAAGTCCACACCACTTTCCTTCTCAGCCCATCTCCCTCAATGGCTTTCACATCTTCTTTCCTCTTTTCCCTCCATATCATGCTCTTTCATTTCAAAAGACATTAGAAAGAAAGAAAGAAAAATATAGCATGTGCTCTTAAAATGTAAGTCTATGCTCAACAAAACCGAAGTACTTGAAAACAACTTGAGGAGTCTAGATTCACCAGGGCCACTTTAACTCACTTAATTGACACTTACCAAGCACTCTATGTCCCAGTTTAGACAGTGAACTTCATTACTGAAGCAGATCACACAACCCATGTCCTTTTGGAGAACATACTGAAGACAGACATTAACCAATTGATTTTAGGAATAGTAATCTTAAGTTTTCTATTTTTGAATAATTGCACAGCACCAAGATAACCTAACATGGGAGACCTTGAGTCCATGTGGGCAACAACCTCCCCAGGCTCGGTTTCAGTGAGAAGTGGGCCCTGAGGCCTGAGAAGGAATAGGGGGCAGGATGGCTGTGAGCATGGCCGTTCACTGAGGGCCTCTCCTTTCATCAGGGCAGGCAGAAAGTGAATAAACTATTACGGTTCTGTGTCTCAAGCTATGTCAGAGCACTTTCCATTTTTCCATGGGAGGGGGTGGGCAAGTGAATAGGACCCTGGATACAGGTGGGGAGATTGGAGAAAAGCCTCTGGAGAGAAGGCAGGCTGGGGTGAGTGCTGAGGGCTGCATGCTAACCTAGGAGTACCAAGTCCTGTGGAATGAAAGAGAACTTAATTTAGAGTTTAGAGGAACTGGAGGTCACCAGTCTTACGGACAGTCCAGGTGGAGACAAAAGCATTCCATCCAGGGAGAGGACCTAGGAATTCACACAGCCAGGTTGAAGGTGTGAACAGAAGGTCCCCGTGAGGGGCGGTGGGAACCATGGTGGCCTCAGAGCTGAAGGCAAGGAGTTGGGCGTGGTCCGACAGTGGAGGGATCTCATCACCTGTGGTTTCTTTCCCTTTCCTGGCCTTGACTCCAGGTATGTGAACTGTGCCCGGGATGATGAGGAGCAGAACCTGGTGGCCTTGCAGTATCATGGGAAGATCTTTTATCGAACCTGCCAGGTGGTCAGGCCAGGCTGTGAGCTGCTGGTCTGGTACGGGGACGAGTATGGCAAGGAACTCGGCATCACGCAGGACAGCAGGGGGAAGAGCAAGCTCTCGGCCAGGAGAGGTGAGCACCACCCCTCTTCCAGTGCCCCACCCCATCCTGGCGAGCTTCCCTGGTCCGATCCTGAAGCAGAGTCCAGTCCAGTCTAAAGTCAGTCAAGTTGCAATTAAAATGCCTCAGAATTTGATTCATTTCATAAGACTGTTAGGAAAATATTTATATTAAAAATATTAGTTCTACTGCCATATGACCCAGCAATCCCACTTCTGGGCATACACACCAAGGAAACCAGATCTGAAAGAGACACGTGTACCCCAATGTTCATCGCAGCACTGTTTATAATAGCCAGGACATGGAAGCAACCTAGATGCCCATCAGCAGACGAATGGATGAGGAAGCTGTGGTACATATACACCATGGAATATTACTCAGCCATTAAAAAGAATTCATTTGAATCAGTTCTAATGAGATGGATGAAACTGGAGCCCATTATACAGAGCGAAGTAAGCCAGAAAGATAAAGACCAATACAGTATACTAACACATATATATGGAATTTAGAAAGATGGTAACGATAACCCTATGTGCAAAACAGAAAAAGAGACTCCTATGTATAGAACAGACTTGTGGACTCTGGGAGAAGGCGAGGGTGGGATGTTTCAAGAGAACAGCATTGAAACACGTATATTATCTAGGGTGAAACAGTTCACCAGCCCAGGTTGGGTGCATGAGACAAGTGCTCGGGCCTGGTGCACTGGGAAGACCCAGAGGGATTGGGTGGAGAGGGAGGTGGGAGGGGGGACCGGGATGGGGAATACATGTAAAAAAAAAAAAAAAAAAAGATACACTATGGTTGTGATAAAAAAATTAATTAATTAATTAATTAATTAAAAAAAATATTAGTTCTAATTTTCAATATTTCATGCAAAAAATCTGTAACATCACCTTCTGCTGAAAGGCTTAGAAGCAAAAAGCAAGTTTTCTGGCACCTACCAGCTCTCTCCCCTTTATCAGTTTCTTCCTCATTTCCTCCATATTTCTAAGCGACATGCATACAGTTATTTGCACTCAGTTACTGTTTCAGTTTGTTGTCATGTGAGTTCATACTCTGACAGACAGAGCTCCATGCACTGAAACATACAGAACCACTGCCTTGGGGCAGCATGGGCTTCATACCAGACAGGGGCTGGTGCTCTGAGGGAAACCAGTGCAGAAAAAGTGCCTTGGATCAGCATTAGCAGAGAGTGGGGTGTGGCGGATGATGGTGGGGCAGGGTCTCTGTAGAGATAACACCTGTGGATTCCAGGAATCCAGACAGGGGAGCAGCCAGTGCTGCAGCATCAGGGCCGGGAAAAGAGGCCATGCCAGTGGTTGCAAGAGGAAGCACAGAGGGAAAGGAAGGAGGCTGGATGGAACATGGAAGCCTCAGAGCCCATGTCCACGTGCAGGCCCCAGGGGTCTTCCTGGGTGACACAGAACAACCATGCGGCTATCAGCTGCAAGCAGCATGTTCTCTGTGCTAAGATGATGCTTCGGTTCATTTTTGGGAGGAGACAGCAGCAGGGAGTCCCCTCAGAGGTCAGTTCATTGCCAGACTTGAGGGGAGAGTGGGCTGGGTGAAGATTCATGGGAGTGAGGGTGTGAAGAGTCTGGCTGGAAATGTATTTTTAAGCAGGACTTCCTAGTGCACGTTAAGTGGACTAAGACTGAGTGAAATAAAAGAGGTATGAATACTGGTGAGGCTTGAGAAAGGACATGTCTTTTGTTTTATGATGTATAGAAAACCGAGAAAGGAGCAATTTGTGAACCAACTGGGGCAGCAGGAGCCAGAGACCTGTAGTCAGTGGGACCTGGGCCTCTTGGTCTCATCCAGTCTCAAACTCACTTCCTGCAGAGTGGTTTCTTTGAAAGGTTGCTCTTTGAACAAGGAGCCTCAAATTCAACTTTGCTCACACCTGCTCTAACCACCCCTCTGCTGCCTCCCATATGCAGAGAGCTCCAGGCCAGGCGCCCCAAACGTAATATACCCTTTCCCCTCACAGGGAGCCATTCAGGAAGATTCCACCTAAGTCATCAAAAGTCTTATATCTCAGTAGGGTAAAATACCTGTGACCACTGTGACATGACTTTTCATATACTTACACACAGGGAGAGGTCCCTGCAGATCCACCTCTATCAGGAGAGACGCTGCCTCTGATGCTACTGAAAGGTCCCTAGTCTGGGTGGTATGTAGAAAAGGCCCTTGATGCAAGCTTCCTGGATTTCTGTAGATGTAGAGAATAAGAATGGAATGGAAAAGTGGACTGGAAAGACACACTTGATGGGAGACAAATCGTGCATTGTCAACACTAAGATGATTACTGGGGCAGGCTTTACCATGGCAAACCAGCTACCTGACTAAAATCTTCCTCTTTCAGCAGAACCAAAGCCCAAGATCCACCCATGTGCCTCCTGCTCTCTGTCCTTCTCCAGTCAGAAATTCCTCAGCCAACATGTCCAACACAGTCACCCCTCTCAGATCCTCCTGAGACTATCTTCAAGAGACCACCTCCAACCAAAGGATCCCTGCCCAGGCAATCAAATTCAGCAGGAGCGATGTTCCGGTCCACACAGCCCGAGTGACAAACCAGAGGGTCGAGAGGCCAAGGAAAGGCCCCATCCTTTGCTGAAAGGCCCCAAACTTTGCCTAAAGCTGAAGAGGATTTCAATGGCCTCTTCCTATTCACCCAAAGGACAAATGGGGGGTTCTGAGGTGCATGAGAGAATGGCAGAAGAGCCCAGCACAAGCCAGAAACTGAATCCAGAGGACACAGGCAAATTACTCATGGGGGCAGGGGTCTCAGGGATTATAAGAGTCAAGTACGGAGAGCATGGGCAAGGCTCCAAGGATAGGTCAAGTATAATCACACATGAGAGGACACACACAGGGGAGAAGCCCTATGTTTGCAATGAGTGTGGGCAAAGCTTCAGGGCGAGGTCAAGTTCAACCAGGCATAAGAGGACACACACAGGGGAGAAGCCCTATGTTTGTGGGGAGTGTGGGAAAAGCTTCAGCCAGAAGACCCATCTCATCACACACCAGAGGACACACACAGGGGAGAAGCTCTATGTTTGTGGGGAGTGTGGGAAAAGCTTCACTCATAAGTCAAATCTTAATCAACATCATAGGACACATACAGGGGAGAAGGCCTATGTTTGTGGGGAGTGTGGGAAAAGCTTCAGCTGGAAATCAAGTCTCATCGCACACCAGAGGACACACACAGGGGAGAAGCCCTATGTTTGCGGGGAGTGTGGGAAAAGCTTCAGCCAGAAGACCCATCTCATCACACACCAGAGGACACACACAGGGGAGAAGCTCTATGTTTGTGGGGAGTGTGGGAAAAGCTTCACTCATAAGTCAAATCTTAATCGACATCATAGGACACATACAGGGGAGAAGGCCTATGTTTGTGGGGAGTGTGGGAAAAGCTTCAGCTGGAAATCAAGTCTCATCACACACCAGAGGACACACACAGGGGAGAAGCCCTATGTTTGTGGGGAGTGTGGCAAAATGTTCAATGAGAGATCAAATCTCAGAAAACACCAAAGGACACACAGGGGATAAGCCCTATGTTTGTACGGAGTGTGAGTGAGTCATGACCAATAAACGACATCCTGGCCACAGGAGGATTACTGCAGCCACCCCATGCCTCAGCTCTAAGGGGTCCTCAGAGCAGGTTTATGACCCATTACTGTCCCAAAAAGTATGAGGAGAAACTTCCCAGGTGGCCCAGTGGCTTCTACTCCAATTCATAGACCCATGTTCAATACCTGACTGGGGAACTACCTCCCACATGCGGCAACTGAGACACAGTGCAGCCATGTAAGTAAATACATAAACAAATATTTTACAGAAACAGTGTGATGAGCACAGAATTAATTGATTAAATAGACCTTCCACTTTCATGACAGGAGAGGAGGTAGATAAACAGCACATGGTTTCTTTTTTTTTTTTTTTTAGCACTCAGATTTCTTTTATTTTTTATTTATTTTTTTTCATTTATTTTTATTAGTTGGAGGCTAATTACTTTACATCATTGTAGTGGTTTTTGTCATACATTGAAATGAATTAGCCATGGATTTACATGTATTCCCCATCCCGGTCCCCCCTCCCACCTCCCTCTCCACCCGATCCCTCTGGGTCTTCCCAGTGCACCAGGCCCGAGCACTTGTCTCATGCACCCAACCTGGGCTGGTTATCTGTTTCACCCTAGATAATATACGTGTTTCGATGCTGTTCTCTTGAAACATCCCACCCTCGCCTTCTCCCAGAGTCCACAAGTCTGTTCTATACATAGGAGTCTCTTTTTCTGTTTTGCACATAGGGTTATCGTTACCATCTTTCTAAATTCCATATATATGTGTTAGTATACTGTAATGGTCTTTATCTTTCTGGCTTACTTCGCTCTGTATAATGGGCTCCAGTTTCATCCATCTCATTAGAACTGATTCAAATGAATTCTTTTTAATGGCTGAGTAATATTCCATGGTGTATATGTACCACAGCTTCCTCATCCATTCGTCTGCTGATGGGCATCTAGGTTGCTTCCATGTCCTGGCTATTATAAACAGTGCTGTGATGAACATTGGGGTGCACGTGTCTCTTTCAGATCTGGTTTCCTCGGTGTGTATGCCCAGAAGTGGGATTGCTGGGTCATATGGCAGTTCTATTTCCAGCTTTTTAAGAAATCTCCACACTGTTTTCCATAGTGGCTGTACTAATTTGCATTCCCACCAACAGTGTAAGAGGGTTCCCTTTTCTCTACACCCTCTCCAGCATTTATTGCTTGTAGACTTTTGGATAGCAGCCATCCTGACTGGTGTGTAATGGTACCTCATTGTGGTTTTGATTTGCATTTCTCTGATAATGAGTGATGTTGAGCATCTTTTCATGTGTTTGTTAGCCATCTGTATGTCTTCCTTGGAGAAATGTCTGTTCAGTTCTTTGGCCCATTTTTTGATTGGGTCATTTATTTTTCTGGAGTTGAGCTGGAGGAGTTGCTTGTATATTTTTGAGATTAATCCTTTGTCTGTTGCTTCGTTTGCTATTATTTTCTCCCAATCTGAGGGCTGTCTTTTCACCTTGCTTATAGTTTCCTTTGTTGTGCAAAAGCTTTTAAGTTTCATTAGGTCCCATTTGTTTATTTTTGCTTTTATTTCTAAAATTCTGGGATGTGGGTCATAGAGGATCCTGCTGTGATTTATGTCGGAGAGTGTTTTGCCTATGTTCTCCTCTAGGAGTTTTATAGTTTCTGGTCTTACATTTAGATCTTTAATCCATTTTGAGAGATAAACAGCAGATGGTTTCTTAAGTGTTCTGGAGATATTCATGCCAATTGCCTTCATGGTTTTTTGTACTCCTCTGCTAATAAATTTTGTCTCCAAACATATCTGAAGCCCAGACTACGTACTCATTCCCCCCTTATTACTGACAGCAGTGGGGTCCAGTGGTAGCTGAACCCCTGGGAAGGCATTATTCTGGAGCCAACTCAGTTAAGTCACTGGACAGTCATCTTCCAGGGCCCAGGGAGAGGAACCTAGGGTTTGAGACAGATTCATCAGGGAAGAGAAAACTCTGGCTTCCTGGGAAGTGTGGCCTCTCCTCCTTATAGATCTAGACTCTACCTTTTGGTCTCTCCTGGTTGACCTGTGTCTTCCTCCGACTTCTGTGGCCTCAAAAGTGAAGGCCAAGTGCACGTGTATGTGTGCATGTGTGTGTGCTTCGCTCAGCCTGGGCCATTCTGGTCTCCCTTACTCTGTCTTTGCCACTTCATCAAAGTCATCACAGCATCTGGACTCGATTCAATCACAAGGGTCCAGTTCTCAGCCCTGCCCTCAGCAGCTGT